GCTGTCCTAAGTCAATTGGAAAATGGTTTGGATCAATTATGAATTCATCGTTTCAGACAGGATTAGTAAACAATCGTTGCGTGTGTTGCCGGGCGACGTTTCGCTTTTGGCACTAAGGCTGCGTCAAGTCCGGGCGACGTTTCGCTTTTGGCACTAAGGTTGCATGAAGTCAAGTGAGTAAGCAAGTAGTTTGATTGGGTTTTAAAGCGGTCAGGGAACGAATCCTGACTAACCGACTTGATCACTGCTGGGTTTTCAGTCTGGTGTTCCTGTTTGTTGGTCAGTCGGGATGACTAACTTAAAGTTTTGAGCAGTTATGGATCTCACGTTATGACTGCGGCTATTAGATTATACGCAGTTCGTAGCCGGTAGTCAATAGGGGCGGACAGACGTGGTTAGCAGATGATGTGTTGAGGAATAACGGGAACTAGTTCTACAGGCAAACGGATAGGTAAGCATCATGAGATAAGCAAACGTAAAATCAATGATGACGCACTCAGCACGAGCAGGAAACAGTCGCTAACGCAGCAGGGATTGCTAGGAGCAACAACAGGTACGCACTAAACGACGTACGAACAGACATATAGGGGAATTCTGACCGTGTGAGTTGGCCGTATAGGGGTATAACGGCGCAGGAATCAGTAAGCTTGTGATGTGAGGGACCGTGTTTCGATTAGCGGCGCGACGCGGCAGCCCGTGTCACGTGACCGGTCAGATCGCACGTCTCGTCAGTTTAAAACAAATCTCGGCAAAGCCAATCTGGCAGGTGCGGTACATAGGTAATACAGATTGGTGTGGTGGATGGCGCGTTCGCCTGCCGTCTAGGTAGTCTGGAGTCGACAATGGTCTGTCCGCTTTTCCGTCAGAGTGGACGCTCGAAGATGTTTGCAACCGAGACGAACTTGTAAGCAATTACGGACTGGCAACAAAATACTGACAGCAGTTAGTAAAGAATGAGTAGACCGTAAGCAGGAGCGAAAAAGGGAAAAAAACGAGCAGCAGGTCCGCTGAGTTTGCATGTATCAAGCTGAAACTTAGATACTTCAATCCTTCGAGGTGATTTCGACATCAACTATCTGCTTCCTTTTTTCAAATGAGATTCCCTTAAAGTCATGCAGTAATCGTTATATAGTTGTTGCAGGTTTCAACATTGTTCGACCTGGGCTCCACGTTTGAAATTTGCGGGGTGGTATATTATGCTGGGGTACTCGGACCACATGTGCTGGGAAGGGACAAAGGAGCCGACTAATATGGGGCAGTCCTTGGACTCATTTGCCGTTATTAAGGCTCCTCGTCCACCTGGTGAGTGCATAAGCGGAGGTACGAGTCGATGCGGCTTGTGAGCTGTTGCTTTCTGAAAGTCGTCAAAGATGTAGTGTGACGTGTAAGGTTATCGTCCTAGGGACGGTTAACTAATAGCTGAGGGTCCAGCACAGAGTGACGTAGGAGCTGATACCAACGGAGGCGGGCTTTGGACGTTAATGTAAATATGGGGAACAGATACATAGAAGTTGGACGGCGCTTGATACTTCCGCATTTTGATACCTTTCGTGCAAACTTTGAAAAGAGGGATCACTGCCTGGTTGGAGGGAAATCGGTGTTTCATGCATTGGTCAGCAGTCCAAACTACCTAGATAGTGCGCATGTCCGAGCATTGTGGCAAATCTGGAGAGCGTAACGTCGGCAGTGTTGGCGGGTGATGTGAGACGTAGGTCCAACATGCATGGGGGCTCTTCCGGTGACTTCAGAGCTAACCATAGGGACTCGATGAGTGAGAGAAACCGGAGACGTATTGATACCTAAGATGGCGGCACAGGGTCCAGGGCACGGGCCCATAAGTCTCCGGCTTAGCTTCAAGGTAAATAAGAATACAGTGAGCCCTAAAGTGACGTGAGCATTGTTGGCCAAGACTTAACTGGACTAATGACGTGAGAGGAACAGTGATACCAAGCTCTCCACCTTTGTTGTTTCGTCTTGGGGTCGGTGCATAGTAGGCGGAAACACTTCAACATCGTCATCTTGGCAAACTTGTGTAATTATTCACATTTGGGGGAAGCAGAACGGGCTTAGGGTATGAAATAAGGCGTACGACTGCAGAGGGAATAGTGGTCTAAAGTGGATGATTGTAGATGAAAGGTGACCAGACTGAATGTAGTAGGAAAAATCGAGGTGTCTGAGGTACTTATGCTGTTGTCGAATAGGCCGGTGGCTGAACGCGAAGCCGAAGGGCTCCATGGGGGTCGCGCATTATGACGTACACGAGCTGGGAATATATTCTGGTCATATTCTGACAATAAATGGTGATGGGCATGACGTGAACCTGGTTCGGGGTTTCTTGCTGCATAGTAGGGTCCCATGTAGGTATACTGAATTCTTCCTGCGGTCTGGCATAGTTAAATCAACAGAGCCACTAATAATGGGTGGCTCCTACGGGGCAGGATCACACACAAGTTGTTTATGATTTTCGAGTGGCTCGGGAAAACAATATTGGGTTAAAGACAAGCTCGAATGGTGAGGGAGGCTTCCTGAATGCGACACTACCGTTGGGGCAGATATGACAGTTCATATCCCAGAAGATTTGTGTGGGCTGGTCTAACCGGAACGAGAGCCGGGTGTGTTATCAGGCTGAGAGTTTGCTCTAACGTTTCCCGGGACGGTTTTGTTCTTGTCATTCAGCGGCTGTCGTTCACCTGAAAAGCACAGGTTAAAAAGGGTTTAGCACTGCTCTTTGTGTTCTCACGGAAGAGCAGTATGCCTGCCAGCGCGAGGAACCGCATAACTATATGTCTAGTAGTGCTCTGAACTGGGTTCTAGCAGGAGCGTGGACAACCGTCGGAGGAAAGCCATCCTACGCAGCCACTACCCGAAATAAGAAAAAAATTTGCCTAATGAATGTGTGCTCTCTGAGATTGAAGATCTTCTCACTACGTCTCCGCCGTGTGTTTGCTGGGCCAACGGTGAAAAACCTGTTTGCCAAGCTTTGTTCAAACAGGGCATAAGTAAGAATCGGGTCCCCTTGAGGCCACGATACCGCAGGGGAGCATGATAAATCATGGAAGAAAATTTGGGTAGCAAAATCATGGGGATATGGAGGCCGGGATCCAAGCTGACACACACGAATGCTGTTGATAAGAGGATTTTCCGAAAGTTCAAAAAGGCTTACACTACCTTCACTGCGGGTGCGGTAGAAAGACTGGAGCTTTGTGATATGGATTGTGTTAGTCGGGAATAAGAGCGCCAGAAGTTTACAGATCGGACGCTGGCATAGGCTGCAGCAAAAACCCTGTTTTTAGTCTTGCGGTTTGACTATCTATCTGGAGCTGCTGGGGCCTGAGGGAGACAACGAGTGAAAGAGTTTGTAGCAGAAAAGGGCCTGAGTAGGCGTGTTCAATAAAGTATACAATCAAAATATCAGCTTAGAAATAACAAATGGCAATAAGAAATGGATAAGTGAATGGAACAGACTCACTAAATTGGGGGTCCAATAATG